TTTCCCTCTATCAACCATCCTTTCCTAGACTGTTGTAGCAGAACAACCCTTGCAATCTCCTGAGTCCATGAGACTAGTGAGGTGTGTGTGCACGTTTTTGGATGCATGTTTCTACACTACAAACTACGTATGCTCAATGTCGTGTTGGAAGGTTGAATAGCAACTAAAACAGCCAGAAAGGATAAGGTGTCCACCTCTCATGTGACCACCCACAAAGTAAGCATGAGACTGAGCCCAAGCCTGGCTGTTAGACATATACCAAATTTTTGGTTAAGCCTCAAGCATAGCTAAAACATTTAAGCCACCTGAAGGCATTTGAACAGGCCCTGACAAAATGTAGATCCAAAGAAGCCATTTAAAAGTCCTCATACAATTAGATGCTATCAGTGACAACTGGATCAATGTTCTTTTTTTTACAATGTGTGTGTGCCTTCATTTTAATTATACAGAGCAACGATGTACTACAACATTCAATCTCATCAAACACAAGATTTCATTCTACCACAGGGTTTCCCTATGTGATTTGCTTGGGTGGTAGATAAAATGGTTCTTAAACTCACAAACAACATGGATATCAATGGGATTTGAATATTTCTAAGGTACGGGGTTTTCTGAGTTTGGTTAAATAGCCCTCCTTGTCACTGGTCTGCTTGTTTGCTTCACGGTGCTTTCAAAACATTGACGTTGAGGATTATAGACAGGATTAGGTTAATTCCCAATTTTATGTCAACCTCTGTGAAAGGCTTTGGGTGAAGAAAATGCTGATGGTCTATTTTAGGAAAAAATATCTCCATTTGATATGTTCATGATAAATATTTCAAGATTTAATTCAAGAACTAAATTTAACACTGAACTTTAACTTCATTTGAAGGAGTTAAAAAAAAAAAAACAACTAAAACAGGACAAAGCTGAGATGTCACTGCAGGTACAACATCTATATTCAACCTGAAATGAATGATTCCAGTTTTGCATTTCAGTAAGAAACAATGAAAAACACCTGGGTTGTCCCAATCTGAAAGAATCTTTCCTCTAATTCTTTTTAGTTGACTCCTGAACATTAAATGTTTGCATCACTCTGATTCTGCAGGAAAGTCCCTTAACTATTCTTTAATTTGGCTGAAATGGAAAAGATGGAAAAGACTTCGGGGGGGGGGGGGTAATTTAAGAAAATGGGAATGGCCAATAATTTTCCTTTTTCTCCTACCTTTTAATTTACTTAAGAGCTTTGTTCCCAGACTAGCAGCCATAGTGGAGACTTCAGTAAGATAAGAATACACACAAACTTTACAGTGGTGCGGCTGACTTGATAGCTTGTGGTGACATGAAAAGAAATCCCTTCTAACTGGACTTGCAGTCCAGGCAATGCAGCTAAAGCTTTGACTACAGATAACCTCACTTAGCATTGTTATCTGTAACGAAAAGCAAATAGAAACGTCTTCCACCATACATCCAAAGTTACCTAGGACCTACGAAGAAAGTGCCTTCTCACAGAAAAATCTTTTTAACCAGCCACAGACTTCCTCTTAAATAACAATTAATTTGAAATGTTTTAAAATATTGTTACCCTATGTTCACCATTTTTAAAATCACCTTCTGAAAATAGTGTGCATACAAACATGCACTTAGTGTTTGACACTGCCTGCTCAATCCATGCACACAGTAATGTGTCCAAATAACACTTAAAAATGTAACTACCCTACTGCATTAGAAATAGTTGCAAGCTAACAGTCCAGTTGACTGCCCATTTTCACCTATGAAGTTGAACTTAGTAATACCTTTAAAATTATACCTATTATTTTTAAAATAATTTACCTAGCATTTAAGTAATTTAGCACCATCCATGCATGGTCTTTCTTGCTAATAGTAAAAAATTATTTAACAGAAGTATGTACCTCACCACAAATAGAGACTTTTTTCAGGTACAGAAACCCTATCTCAACGGATTTTTCTGTTTTGCTTTTTTTTTTTTTTTTTTGGTAAGCATACACACAAAATCCCTTTGTAAACAAACATTTAAAACTTGAATTGCATGATAAAGGGACAGAAATCTTGTTTGTCTCATTTATAGTTCTTGTTTACTAGAATTTGTTGATTTTTTTCCTAAGCATACTTAATACCAGGTCTTGGATCCCTCCTTTTCAAATGAGGAACTAAACAGTGATGAGACCTCAAGATGAGCTGCAGCTATCTCTTTTTCCTCCAGCAGAGAGGCTGGATCAACTTCTGGGTAAGTTTTCTGCCCCTCCTCTCTCAAATGCAAGCAGTACTGCATGGGAGGCAAACCTGCCCTTTCGAACAGCTTGCAGGATCCAGGCGTATGTGTCCCCTTATCTGACTAGCGGGGCTGGAAAGATCTGCAGATCCAGTTTTAGCCTCCTGTGAAATTACTAGTCCACTTACTGCAAACACTTCAATAAGTCTTCCCGAGAGAAATTGGTACTATTGTTTCTTGAATTTAAGGAAGTAACTAAATAAAAATCTTACAAGAACGAACTTATGCCATATATCATAAAGAAGCAGCGCAAAGCGTCCACATTTTTTGTTGGTCTGACCTGAACTTCAAGAATGGGCAGAAACATCCCCAAATACTTAAATACTTCAGCATAAGCAGGGCAAAACAAACAAACAAATCCCAGACCACTGGTTAATTGCAGAACACACATTAAGCTCTTTCACAAATTAAATTGTGGTGTAGTCAAAACCATTTTGGAAAAGGGGAAAAAATTACTAAACCAAAGGGGAAAAATAATGACTCTAAATGGGGCAAAATAGCAGATCTATTGGAAACATGACAAAAACAGGATGTTAAGGAAAAAAATTAAGTGGAGTCAACAAGGTTACACATAAGTAACACCTTAACATTAAAAGAAATCTATTTTCCATTTTGACCCGGAAACCTCTTCCATTAATTACTAAAATCTATTTACACAGCAACTAGATAAAATCAATCTGATTGCTCACACTATTTTTGGCTCACTTTCTATGGGCTCTGAGCATTCAACAGACCAGCTCTAGAGAAGTGTCATGCTCTGAGTTTCCGTGTTTTGCCACCTACAACACTATCCTAGCCATGATTTCTGGTATGCAAGCTCTTCTGTACTGGATATGCAGTATTTGGTTCACGGCTCCGTCCCCTTGCCCCCAGCAGAGGCACGTATGGAGGCCATGCTTCCTTTCAACCATATATGGATGCAAAGCATCTCTACCGGTATCTCTGCCGAGCTTGTTATGAGGGGTTCTGACAGGCACCATGGCTGAGCTCTCTTACATTAACCAGACTGAGAGCGCAGTGCAGCAAAAGTAGAAAAGAAAGACAAACGGAGAAAAGTAGGTGGAGGACAGGCAGTCCTTGGAGACCTGGGAGAGACACACTCCTCCTTCTACACTTATTCCCATTCCTCCTAGGAACATCAAGTAGCTTCCAAAAGAAGTTATATTGATACATTATACATTGGTATTGATGCATTATTTTTCTTCCAAAGTGGGATTGTTCCAGGTACAATATCCATAAAATTTGTGCCCATCAGTTCAGCAAAGACACAGACACAGTTATGGAAAATTTGTATTCTGTCTTGGAGAACACCTCCTGTTAGGACCTGTGCTATGGCTGGAGGTGAGCATAGAGGGGAAAATTTCTGAGACTCAGGTGTACGCTTGGCTTTACTTTCAGTAAACAGAAACTGTGGAAATAAGCAGAGTCTGTTTAATTAAAAACCATCTTGACCAGGTGACTTCTTCTTTTTCCTTGTGTCTTGGGCAGCTGAACACTATCAATTTATTATTACGACGTTACCAAACTTATGCCACAATCCAGAGTTGCATTTTCTATGCAGTGATTCTGAAACTACAAAAAGATGCATATTTCTCCCCCATATTCAACCAGATCCAAATATAGCTTTTATGTGAAGCTTCATCTGCCTCAGCATATAGACATAAAGCATAGCATGTCCCAGTCTAGAGTGTATTTTCAGCTATGGTTCTCTGGCAGTAGCTTATCATTTAATTAAAACAATGAAGTTCTCATCAGAGGACAGAAAATTGCTCAGAGCTTGCAAGGCACCCGAAAACAAGCTGGTTTAATTCTGACTTTAGGCACACCACTAACAGTTTCATCTGGTGGTCTGACCTTGGCTTTCAAGGGAACCTCTGCCGTGTGCTGGTATGGAGCAGTGATGGCAGTGAGCAGCAGTGATGCATCTCCCCCTCTAATGTCAACTGCTGGCTCCAAGTACTTACTTGAAGGGCTTTTCCCCAGTGTGCGTCCGGATGTGGTTGTTGAGTGTGGTGGCACCAGCAAAGGCACGACCGCAGTAGCCGCACTTGAACGGCCTGTCGCTGGAGTGTGTAACTACGTGGTTCCTCAGCTCCGAAGGCTGGGAGAAAGACTGGGAGCAGTGACCACACTGGTAGGGCCTGCAATGGGGAAGAGAAACACCGTGCTGTCAGTGCCTTCTGTCGACGTGAGCAGGAAACCACATGGGCAGCAACATCTCGTCTTCCCAGCAATTTTCAAAGATAACTGCGAGCGCGCTTCTCTGGAGCCTTCTTGGGAGACACATACCCAAAACTTCATGATCTCTTTAGCAAATGTGAAATGCTCGTGCAAGAATAGACTGAGTCTATGGGCGTCATGCCCCACAAAACATAATTCAGCAAGGTAGTGAGCCTGCCTTATTTCTCCCAAGCTCAACGTGGTGCTCCTTAGTCACAAAAAACTCCCCACGCATCCTTTGTCTGACGGTGCCTGATACAGTTTTACCTACAAATGCATGTCTAATTGTCATACCTATATCCTAGGTGGATACTGCGAGTATTCACAGTTAAATTCTTCATATTGCTTTGGAGGAATCTAGGTTTTTTGAGATCATCTATTTCAATGAAAGGCATTGGAAAAAATAACCACCATGTTACAATTAGCTTTCTGCTTTCTTAGTGGTATTGAAAATATTTGCATTTAATTAACAGGTTTCTTCTATCCAGACTGAAAATGCCTTTTTTGTGATGTTGAAATGAAACCCAGAACTTAGGTTTTTGACACCACAGTTTGTTAAAAACAAACATAACAAACAAACTAAACTGACTGATATGTTACAAATACAGAATCACAACAAATGGACTGCAAACACAGAAAGAAAATGATACAAGACAGTAAGGTGAGACAGGACTGATGAAATGCAAATACCACAGCTAATCAAAATGAAATGTGAAGAAACAGTGTCTTTATTTCTGTTTGGTAAAAGTGATTTAATAGCAACAACATACAAGGTTTATTACCTTTTCACATTTAATTTAAGTTAGTGACAGAGTCCTACATGCTCATCAGACTTTTTGTTAAGAAAATTAAGATTTTTCTAGAGGCATATTAATGATTTTTACTCTGCACAGCATTTTAAGGCACAGCTCTTGATGTCTGCATTTCTAGAGCCAGTGGCCAACACCAACTTAATTGCTCCTCTCTAATAAATGTGTATGTTTAAATGGCTAGAAACCAAAACTAAAGGAAAGGAGACAATGGTGACCAAGCATGTACAATTCAATTAAGTGCAAAATAAAGTGAACTATCTCATTTGTCAAGTGAACTGCTTAATTGTGGCTACTTGCATCACCGAACACAAATACTATTATTTTACAGTGCTTCAGAGCACTGAACCCTGATTGTAGAATTTTTTAGCTTGATTAATAGCTCGGTATTGGTCAATAACTCAATAGCTTACAATTTTACTTACTTACATTTGAAAATCTAACTGCTCTTCAACAAGTTTGAAAGAAATATATTAAAACCGTGGAAAGGTTACTTAATCCAGATGATGTGACTCGTAAAAAAAAATACATGAATATATGTAAAATAATATTTTAAGAAAAAATAAGTACTGAATATCTGGTTCTGTTATTGGAAGACAAGCAGGAGCATGCCCGGTCTTCTCGTTATTTGAAGTGCATGGTTAATTTGCATGAAAAGTATTTATCAAATTTGACATGAAAATTCAAGTGCGGGTTAAACAAAGATGATTTGTGAATGCAGACTTATTTGTTTGGGTATTTTCAAATCAAATACTTTTAAGCAAAAAGAACACATTAAGATATTCTGTATCCAAGAAACATTGATTTTTTAATAGTGAAAGGGACCATTAACATCTATTAGCCTCTGGTTATCTATTTTTAACAGCTACCACAATAAATGATAGAACACTACATAAAACCAATTAATCTTTTATTTTTTTAACAGTCAATGTGATTAATTTCATACAATGAAAAGTCACACCATAACTTGTCTGTAAATAGTCAAAATTCCAAACCAGTTATAACTGAACATTATGATGCTAAGTAAAATGCTTTTACCCCCTACATGGGCTCAAAACAGATTTCTCATTTGCAAAGGATATTAATATATGTACTCAGAACAAATTTCACTGGCTGATGCTCAAGAAAGATCCCTATAAAAAAAATCACCTATTGTTAGATCACTTTGACCAAATCTTTTCCATTCATCCATATCTTGGGAGAACAGCTATTAAAGAAGATACCCTCCCTCTTTGCAGGGGACGCATTTCTCCAGTTTATACACAGGTGATTCTGATTAATGCTAAAATGGGCAGAATAAGTAATTTTTTTCAGCTAGATACGTAGCACACATTAAACCAAGCTCATTTTGAAAAGAAAACCTATAAATGCATTGAAATACTATAACAATTTTAAAATGCCGTATCTGATTTGCACAATTGCAGATTCAAATATGCCAAATTTTAAAAACTTTTGGATACTACTATTTTTTCCAAGAGCTAAAAAAATCATTCGATAAGTATAAAAGTCATGATTTTGTTCTCTGGTAACCATTTTACTGTGCTCAGAAATTTTTCTTGGCAGAAAATAAAATCAATACGTTGTTTTTTAAAAAAAATGAAAGTGGTGCAGAAGGACTGAACATGAGCAATGCTCGGTTCAGTGAGTACATTGACATGGGCAGAGCAGGCCTGTCTTTGATGTAGCAGTTATGTCTTCTGCCATCACTTTTGTCTGCACTGGGACAACGAATTAAGATGGTAACCTCTTTATAGCAGAGATTTGCAGACAGAAGGAACACGGACATAGTGACAAAAACAGAGGTCTTCATACACTGTATTTTCAAAGATGTGCTGCTAGACTGAATGCAGTCCCAGCCCAGAAAAAACTCATTTCCACTGGAATAATCAAGAACATATCATACCTTCTTGAGCTTTAAGATATCCATGTGAATATAAGCACACAGCCCAGATGTGTGTTGATGCTCCAGAAAATTAATATTCAAACAAAATGGATGTCAGTCTCTTAATATGTAAAAACGTACATAACCAAAATATTCCTTTGCAGATGTACAGGCAAATTTGCAAGCATGAAAGTAATTAGCTTGATGAAACAGGTGTACCAGGGCCTCAAAGTATATGCTGACTATCTGAATAATTTTTTTCTTTCTGTAAAAATTTATTTTCCGTCTATCGTGTACCAGAAACAACATGGTTTTGAACGTTTCGTCACTGCATTTTCTACAAAGTATCTTGTAGGCCCTCACAGATGTAAATCAAGCCTGATCAACATCTTCTCATATAAGTATTTTTAAGTTATCTTTAAGAACAGCTAAACTGATGTATAGCAATACGCAGTTGAGAACGATGTGCTGAGAGCCATCAAAAGCAGTTCTAATGTTTTTCATTAAACACCTACCTACATATTTTTCTAGTGTTCTGTCTTCCTTCCTGAGCTTAAAGAAAGAAAATCTACTTACCCAGAAGCAAATATCCTGTTAGAAATACTACACTATTGTCACTAACTCCATGCACCATCAATCAGCTGTCTAGGTGTACTAACATGTAGAGTCCACCAGCTTTTTCTAGAGACCCTAATCTTACAGTCTGTGACTATAGGATGGCCCACTACAGGAACACAGACCATTTAGAGTGAAATTCAGAAAGGAGTAACTGAATGTAATAGTTTTCAAGTTTTGTAGTTATTTAGATTTTGAGCTTTTCAAAGTTTTTCAAGTTTCATTTTCAAAATGAAACTTTTGCTCCCTAATTTAGACAATGTCTTGAATGATTCTGCTGTTTGGTGATGTGTTTTCCCATCTTACAATTTCCTGACTTTTGTAGCTGATTTTTTCTGGGTAAAACTACATCATGTATAGGACCAGTACAAACCCCCTCTCCTACGAGACTTATTGAATCTCACCAAAGCTCATGTTTTGTGCAGGGAATGGGATCCCTTAAAATGCACAAGGCATGTTAAGGGATAACAATAGAAAAATCCATATCTTTGCACCTGGAATAGCTGCCGACAGACAACTATGTATTTAGATTGATTCTTTTTAGATTTTAATTTAGCAAAAGTGACATAGCTTTAATTATTTATCTTGTACTATTTCTCTGCTGGAACAATATACTTTCCAACTCCTGACTCCTGAGTACATCCAGCCAATATAAACTTATTTTCTACATCATAAATAATTCATGGTATGAATTATTAGACTCCCGAAAAATCTTATAATTATTTTCCACTGAATTTCCACATTCTTTCCTTTATGATGAACAGGTTTCTAGTGAGGCCTCTTCAGAAGTTAATTTGCTGTTTTCAAGGTACCTGTGGAATCTCAGTACAATCCTTAGAAGAGAAATTGCTTGTATTAGTGAGTTCCTGAATACCTGTAACTATCATCGAAACACTGTCAGATCAGGGAGAAAAAATAGCACATCGCTGTAATTTTTTTCCCTTTAGAAAAAGCTAGAAAAGCACCGGCTGAAAGAAGAGAGACTGACAAGTGCTTTTCTCCTTGCTGAGGACTAGGAAGAAGTAAAAAACTGACTTGATTGATGTCAGGGTCTCAAAGTGTGGGACACAGGGTTCTATTGAACCCAGGGCAGGGTTTCAGGGCGCAACAGGGGGAAGGCTGTCACACCTCAGCCTCTGCAAAAAAATGAAAGCAGGGCATGTCGAATTGGGGCCAGCATCGGCTTTCAGGGCCAGGTCTTCGTGCAACACACAGCACAAAGAGCACAGCTGCAGTCAGAGGAGTCAGGTCACAGTTGTCCTGATGGAAAAGAACTTTGGAGGGAGTGGTACTTCTTCCAGCAAGTTGAACTAAGAAGATGGAGAAAAAAGGGATGCATAAGGATACTGCTAGCTTGAACACAGTCTCATCTCTAGCATCAGCATTGCCATGGGTGAGGTACATTCACTATCTCTGACTCTACATCTCCTGCTGTCCTGGTGGTCCAAGAATGGATTGAGACCAGTCCTGAGGAAAAGGACTTGGGGGTGTTGGTTGATGAGAAGCACAACATGAGCTGGCAATGTGCACTTGCAGCCCAGAAAGCCAAACGTGTCCTGGGCTGCATCCAAAGAAGTGTGGCCAGCAGGTTGAGGGAGGTGATTCTGCACCTCTA